TAAATCTGGATTTGAAGTAAAATATCTCGAAAATCCAATCATAGTACGGTCGTCACCATTAACGTCAGCCTTCAAACCCTTAAACTCTGGGCTGTCATAGGTATAATTACCAGTTTGCAAAATAGCCCCCTTCCATAATTTCTTGATAAAGTCATTGGAACCAACATTATCAGACCAGTTTGCATCTAAAAGTGCTTGGACCCTAGGCTCCACAATGGAAAGATAAGCAAGCTGCTTACCGTCGTTTGCGCGTTTTTGGAGCTCATTAACCACATAACTAAAGGTTGTAATAGGATGCACAGTATCTTCTTCAGCTTTCATTCCTTGGAATTTGATCCAAGGAGACAATCTGATTGCAAGCTTTTCAGCGCCAATTGTATCACTCAAGAGGTCAATAATCTCAAGCACGATTCTTGCACGATTCTCAATAGAGCCACCATAGTTATCTGTTCTTTGATTTGTAGCGGGCTGTAAGAATTGATCAAGCATGTATCCATGAGCACTGTGAATTTCCACGTAATCAAATCCAGCTTCCATAGCATTGATTGCTGCATTCTTGTAATCTTCATAAATAATGCCCTTGATTTCCTTTTCAGTCAATGCTCTCACAGGATTGCCTGCAGCTTCTGCAGCCTTCTTAGACTCTTCGCTTTCATATAAAGCAGAGGGAGATATCAAATCCAAGCCATGCTTTTTCAAAAGCTCTGGGGATCCAACTCTTCCTAAGAACCAAAATTGACACGCCATATAACTACCTTTAGCATGTACTGCATCAGTAATCTTTTTCCATCCTTGAACATGTTTGTCATTCCAAATACCAGGAATGTTAGGGTATAAGCCAGCGCGAGGAGAAATGAAGGTGGCTTCCGTAATGAGCAACGAACCAGGAGCTTGTGCTCTATCCGAATAGTATTGAAGCATCAAGTCGCTTGGAGTATGATCATCTGCAGCACGGAATCTTGTTGTAGGAGCAAAAGCTACCCTTTGATCCAGTGTATTTTTACCAATAGTAATCGGTTTAAATAAATTCGATTGTTCTAACCCAGCTGTCATTTTTTTTTTTTTTAAGAAGGTGGAGAGTGTAAACTTTACCAGGCTTGAAGGTACGAAAATGAGCGCTTATTTTCTGCAAGTCTTTTTCGATAGCGTTGCTTATATTTATATATGTACGGTAACGAAGAGCGTAGACGGAAATTTTTTTGATTGCTAGCTTACTAATATTATTTGTCAGAGGAAACGATTAGTAAGTCGTACAATAATGAATAAGCCATAAGGTTGAGATAAGATTATTTTAGCGAAGATATCTGTCATTTGGAACGATTATTGAAAAGCGCTTTGTCGGTTCTTACAATAGTGGACTTTTAACCGACAAATACTATACGATTTAATTACTTCCATTCAGACAAAGGTCATACTATTTTGATATATATATTGACATACACGGGGGAAATGGGTAAACATAGGAATAAAAGCAATGATGACAAAGATGGTTTGAAAAAAAAAAAATATTAGAAATTAATCATACAAAAACACACTGACATCCACACACGCATAATAGGACACAGAGGTAAACAAAAAAAGTTCCTTGGTCCTTTCTGTCAACGATAGTTAACAAAGCTACTTATTATATAGAGTTATATAGATAGCATCTCTTATTTATCCCCTTTGTCTTGCGCATGCAAATGGATACAACTATTGAGGAGCGTCTTGATGACCTCATTAAGGGATACCACGATGTCATGAAAGTTATCATCGAGGGACCTGCTGCAAAGTAGATTGATCTTTCCTGAATAAAGACCAATTTAGAATTCAGTTAGCCTTTAAGGGGGTTAAGGA